ATGGGCTTTTCAATAACCTGATGACTTCCAGAGTGCTCCAGCCAATGAGGATGGAGCAGTGACCTTAGATAAAAGGCTTCATTTGGCATGACTCATCATTGGAGACATCCAGCCTGCTTGGCCTGTGTTGTTAAGGGCCTGGTTCTGTAAATATTGACAGCTAGAAACCATCCCAGGAACTACCAAGCAGTGATCTGGAAGGTGATGTATATGAGTATGACCAGTGATTAGGCAATGCTTGTCATTTGCTAAGCTTCAGCCCACTGATAAATATCACCCCATTAACTCTCTTCCTAACAGTGGCTCATTTGCTGTGGGTGACTCATAGGTGATATATTATAGGGTCTGATTCAGCAAGGAAAGTCTGGTCTGCCACAACAGAGAATGACATCCAAGGCCACCTCAGTTTTTAGGATACTGGCTTCTTAACAAGCGTTGACTTTGCCAAGAAGGAACGGTTCCAAAGGAGTCCCCATCACTAAAAAACTGAAGGGAGTAAGGAGAAACAAGGAGTAAAACACCGCTTTTCACTGTTCAGAGCTGATGTGTTTCAAACCTACTTACCCATGTAGGCACACTTCCACATTCACCCGTGGATGCCCGTGGCTCTGTGAGAAGCAGTCTCTCTCTATTCAATTCAACACTTTCAGGCTTGTTGGGACTGCTCTCAGAGGAGGGACAGGGCTAAGGCTTTGCTCACGCAGAAACTGGTTTTATCTCATGCCCTCCCTTTCTCACTCCTTGAAATATATTTAACATCCCCTGAATGTCTATCAGTGGTTTCTGATGGGCTTGGCCGTTTGGTTTATTGAACTTTGTCACCTTGCAGGAGCTCCCAATTTGAAGCACAGTCCTCTTGAATGTCCCTTGTTTATTTTCTGTGTTTGCTCCAGGATGAGGGCCCATCCTGCCAAATCAGGGATGAACTTTTCTATAGGTGGGCTTTGAACATGGGGCAGACTGGTATGCCAGCTAAACGTGCGCCTCTTGGCCAAAGGCAGGCATGTGGTGCACACAAGTACATGCACACATGGAGCTGTGACCCTCTGCACAATTGTGTAGTATTTACTGTGCTCTCCTGCAATGAGACCTGAGCTCCACTTGCACTGACTGCATCAAGAGACAGCACAAGGAAGCATGCATCAGGCCAGCAGCCATTGAAGGATGCATTATGTTGCTGTAGGCCATCTCTTGGCCACTATCTGGCTGTATGACTTTGAGCAAGTTACTTAACTGCTCTGAGCCTCAGATTCCTTACTTGGAAAAATGAGAGTAATAATGCTCACCTTTCAGGGCTAATGGTGGGGGTCAAGATAATGTATTTAGTATCTACGGATCATAAAAATAGTAGCTGTTATGGTCTTTAGTCCCAAGCCACTGTGAAAATTGTTGCTATCAACAATTTTGGGGTGTTAGAGATTCAACTGTTAAAGATCCACTATAGGTCTGATATTTTATATGCATTGTATCAGCCCCTCCAGGAGGGACTGTTGTCATCATTTTACAGAGGAGGAGCCCAAGGCTCAGGAGTCCAGCTGGCCTGGTTTAGAACTGGGCATCTCTCGCTGTGGAGAGCATGCACTGGCCATCACGTGTGCTGCCTCTCAGGGACATTAGAGGTCATGATTGGGTGTCTGTTTAGCAGAGGTTGGCAACTTGCTTTGTCAGGAGGACACTAGGGCATCTGTTTCATCTTTGCCCCCATCACACGAGCACACGGTTGTGTGCCGTTGGCCAAACAGCTTCACAAAGCCCTTGCTTAACCACCTGGCAGTGGCTGAGTGTTCTGTCCCTTTGTTCAGGTAGATTACACACCTGCCGAGCTGCAGAGCAGTGTTCCGGAACCTGCTGGTAGTCCATACTTTTAATGGAATGTTGATTGGGGGGGGCGGTGATAGGGTTGATGACAGAGTCCAATCTGCTGGCATGAGGGCGGGGTGCGGGCAGGGGCGGGAGGTCTGGGATGCCGGAATAGCGGGAAGGAAGTTCAGGTTGACAACCAGAGTTCCACTCTGTCCTGGTGATCAGCAGGAAACAAACTGTTCAGGCAGGAGCTCCTCCTCCAGCCGCCCCAACCCACTGCTCCCAGGGAAATGTTTTACATGAGGCACCAAGATTTAAAATTATGCCCTTGCAGGACTGCATTATTAAATGCATATCTGTGGCATCAGGGCGATCTGCTAGAAAGAAACGGAGAGGATCCTTGCCACGACTTTGGAAGGAGAGCATGTTTACATTTAGCAGATGAGAGGGTCCAGGCACAGACACTTCGACTAGGTGAAGACCACGCTCCCTGTTTCTTCCTCAAGGGTGAGAGAGGCCCCTGGAGACCCACTGAGGAAAGGCCCCTTGGCATCACTTTCACTAACTTGAGTTCCTGAATGTCCCAGGAGGTTGGATTGGGCTTCCCTGAGGGCCCAGAGATTACCCGGCAAGGCTGGGGCCAGGGGTGTTTCCAGAGGGGGCACAGGCAAAGCCCACCAGGGCTTCCCTGAAGCATCTGGTGTTTCTGAGGCAGAGCAGAGGCAGGCAGATCAGCTTTTGCTCCCTGGAGATGGGACTTTGTTCTTCCCTTAGGGGTCTTTGCCCCATAAGTCAGAAGGAGTCCAAGTGTCCCCTCTCCTCTGTGATCAATGGAGGAAGAAGCTACAGTGGAGGCAGGATAGCAAAAGGACCCACTTTGACCAACTTTGAGGAAATGTGTGGGTTGCTCTCAATTGGATACGTCTGCTTTAAGGTGTCCTAAATCCTTCAGATCCAGAATTCTCTTCCCTGGTGCCCCAAAGAATCCATGTACTCTCAAGCTCCTTCCTACCTCCCCAGAGTGGCCATGGACAACGAAATAAGATGGTTTTGTGCAAGACACGTGAGGCATCCAGCACATGGAGTGTGTTTAATACATGTCCCCTAACGTCGTTATTGTCACTTATCATTACGTCAGACTCCTGGTTTGTGTTTGCACTTCGGAGGTCTGTTCTCCTTCAAACCAAATGTTTTTTTCCAGCAGCCAGGCCCCCACCTCATCCTTCCCCTCCCAGAGAGTTTGGTCTCCTTTTCATTTTGTGTTCTGAACAGATTAATTCCTCTTATTCGTTCAGTGGCATATTTGTCCATCCTCCCAACACTTATGCTAAAGATTTAGCTTGAGCTCTTGCCCAAGTGCTGTTATCTGCCTATGGCACTCCCATACACCACACCCCTCGCCGCCCCCCCTCCCCCATACTAATGCAATGCTCTTTTTCAGGTTCCAGGTCGAATTACGGAATAGATTTGTGTGATCTCACTTGCTTTTCTTATATGTTTATTTTTTCATTAAATGTTGTTGTGTTTTTCAAGGGACCTTCATGCCTGCAGAGAGCATTTGGAGGCTCTGGTTTAGAAAATGTGAACTGTTCTAAGGTCCTCCGAGGCCCTTGCTGTCCAGATCAGAGCAGAGAGGAAGGAGGGAGGAGCCACCATGTGCCCAAGGGAGAAAATCAAGCCCATATGTACCCCGGGGCCTGCTCCCTACTCTACACTACTTGGAACCACTTTCCATCATGCAAGGTCTGGGACAGATTTCTCTTTTCAAAGGGATGCCTGTGTAAAATGACAGAGTCGGGTCATTTGGGAAACCAAGTTGTCTTGCTGAAGCTATATGGCAATGAGGAGCCACACAGAGATCTGCCCACTCCACCCAGCACTCCCTACGTGGCCACCCACAGGATTCCTGCCATGGTGCGGCCAGGCTGCCTTTGTGCAAACAATGAGGTGGAGAAAATTTATTTATTTATTTACTTATGACACAGGGAGAGAGGCAGAGACATAGGTAGAGGGAGAAGCAGGCTTCCTGCGGGGAGCCAATGCAGGACTCGATCCCAGGATCCCGGGATCATGACTTGATCCAAAGGCAGACGCTCAACCACTGAGCCATCCAGGTGCCCCCCAAAATTATTAAAAGGGGAAACAAGGATACTGCAGGGTCAGGCTACAGACGTTAGCCCTAGAACCCTTGTTCTAGATAGTTCTGTGTTGACATGAGGGCAGCTGTTGCTGTCTTTAATGAGTAGAGAAAGAGGTCTAGGGGAGCGAGGAGAAAGCGCACAGCGGCCCAGGCTGAGGCCCCTGGATCTAGCAGCACATGCTCTCCGGGATTCTATTTCAGGCTGCCTGGAGACAAAATTGTGTTCTTTGCCACAGGAAGAATGCTCCCTGGGACACAATTGCTAATAGGGCAAGATGAGGGCTGTGGAATGCGGAGCCAGTGGTGGTTACTGTTAGCTTTCCAGCAGGCTTTTTCTCTCTTCTTTCACTGAGTCACATGTATTTTGGTCGATAATTTAGAAGGTGGTTGAACGGCCCCCTCCCCCATAGCCTTCATTTTTGAAAATGTGGGAATTACTGGAGCCTGGGAGCTATCTCGCACATCCACTAGTAATTTTCCAGAGCTCCCCTCTGTCATCTGTCTCCCTGACATAGAGAGGGAAGGCGGGAGGAAGAAGAGGAGGGTGTGGACAAGGAAAGGAGAGAGGAGGCAAAGAGGAGGGAAGGGGGAGAGAAACATCTTGCTGACGTCAAAGACCACACTGTACAGGATAACATTACTCGGTACCTCAACCACCCACTCCCTCTAATTTACTAGAAACCAAACGGATTGTTTTGAAACCTGTAGCCTGCAGTCTGTTATTTTGTTTTGTTTGTTTGTTTGTTTTGGTGTTCTCTCTGGACCAAAAGGACCATTAATTGTTGGGAGTTGGAAAGCTACCTGATTCCCTGAAACAGAGGGGATTTCCATGAGCAATAATTCAGCCCGTGCTAGTGCTGGGCGCTGCAGCTAGCGTAAATTGATCCAGCTGCGTGCAAGCTGATGGAAAAGGGCCCGGGGGAGAGCGCGGCATCTGCAGCTGGGGCGGCCGCGGGCTCCGTCCCGCCGCCCCGCCCCCAGGCCCCGCCCCCAGTCTCCGCCCCGTGCGCGCCCCCGGGTCCCCGGGCGCCCGCGCGCCCCCTGCCCGGCCCGCGCCCCGCAGCCCCCCCGGCCGCGCTAGCGGGCCGCTCTCCCTTCCATCGCAGGCGTGGCAACGTGGTTCTTGGGAACTGCGGGACCCCGAGGGCGGTGGGGGGCGGCCCTACTGCCTAAGCGCCCCTTCCAGAGTCGCGCATTTGGTGCGGTGGCCGGGTTGCTTGTGCTTCCCAGAGGCCTCCCCTGGTTCTGTTGTCTGGACACCCAGGGCCTATTTACAAATAAAATCGGAGCTGGCAGCGGTGACCTGTACGTAACCGGACGCTAAGGAGATACTGATTCCACTACCCAGATGGTAGAGTTCAATCTGTTTTCTGGCCAAGGCCGCGCAGTTAATTTTTATCCTAGTAAAAAATAATAAACACGGCATTAGCAACTAAATGTTTATCAATTTGCAGTTCATTTCCAGCCAGATCATTTCACTCCTGCCTGTTTTTACTGCTAGCTGATGCACTGGAGTGCTTTTCCTGAAACCATATGTGACTATTTAAGTCCCAGCCTCCGTAGCATTTATATGGTGCTTTTCACCTTAATTGAATAATATTATTTGGATATTTCAGGCATGGCCCTCAAATATTGCATTTTAATGATGAAGAAACTGCAGTGAAGGTTGAATGAGCGGCTGGAGATCGCCCCACAGTTCTTGTTTTGCTTTTACATCCAGCCCAAACCTGCGTGTGCTGGACTGTGTGCCCGAGCAGGGCTGCCTTGGTGGCGTTTCTTATCCTCATCTTACGGGGGAGTTAATACCAGAAGAGGTGGCAGAGAAGAATTAACACAGGGGGTTAGGAACTCCGAATAGGATGATGTCCTATCATGAGAGATGAACAACGATAAGAGTGCACTGAAGCTCGAGTGCACCCAGCTGCCCAGGCAGCCAACCCGGTCTGCAAACGCTTTGGCTCATTTTGTCATCCTAGTGGACTTACACCATTTGGTTGTGTCATCTACTGTTCATCACCAGACTGTTAGAGCCAGAAACGATTCAGTGATCACAAAATGAAGGCTTGGCTAGACTGTGAATCACGCAGGCGCTCAACCCTCTTCTCGGCTTCCTGGTTCTCCTTCATTTGAGTGTGTCATAGAAATCTTGACGTCCCTACATGCTTCAGGGTGGATCCGCGGTGACTGCTTGGGTAAAGGGAGAGAAAAAACAACTTGCAGACTCAGCAGTGTCAATCAGAATAAGTGCCATATCCATTCTGTCTCTATTTCCCCAGGGAAATAACTCATTTTTCTCGAAGCCTCAGATTTTTCCCCCTGTAAAATGGAGAGGACAGTAGGTCTTCTCTCTGCGGCCTGGCATACATATAAGGGGGCATATGTATAAGGGGGCTTGGCATAGTGCTTGGGATGGAGGAGACACTCAAGAAATGCTGCTGATAAGAAGGGTAGGCTTGACAGGGGCTGGTGGCAAGGGGTTGAAGTTCCTTTATTTGGAACTCCAAATATGAGGTTGTGTCCCATTTCCCAATGAGCAGGTTACAAGTCTTGTGCGTGTCTGTGTGTTTTCTTGGTTAGATTGAATATGTATTCTTTTAATGATGCGAGTGAAATAGTCAAATTTCTAGTTATAAAATTTATTGAATTAATTATGTGCAGATATAAAATGATACCCATAAATATACTTATTTAAAAATGTTGCCTTTAAAAAAAACTTATTACTCAGACTCTTTGTCATCATCTGTCTTTATCATATCTGGAGCCCCTTTTAAAGTGATCTCTCTCAGTCTTCCAGAACACACCATCCCGCTGCCACCCATATATCTTTGGGATTTAGTACTATTGAGTGTATGTATTGTGGTCACTGGAAATGTTAGCTCAAGTGATCTCCGTAAAGGTAACTTCTTGTACTGCTTTTATTTTTATTTATTTATTTATTTATTTATTTTTACTGCTTTTAAATGTGATTTTAATGAGGTTGGGGCTACATAAGGAAATGTGCACACATTTTTAACGATGCATACTAACATACGAAGGAATGAAATGACACAAGGTCTGGGATTTTCTTTAAGATAGTTCAGCAAAGAGGGGGTACCTGGCTGGTTCCATTGGTGGACCATATGACTCTTGATCTTGGGGTTGTATGTTCGAGCCCCACACTGGGGGAAGAGATGACTTAAAAATAAAATCGTAAAAAGGAATAGTTCAGCAAAGAGGAAAAGGCAAAAGGCAAAAAAGGAACAAGTGAAGCAAATTTGGAAAAATCTGGGTTGTTATTAATCTATATGAAGGGCATAAGGAACTTCATTTTGCTATATGCTCTTCTGATATGTTTGAAGATTTGCATAATAAAACTTTTTTTTCCCCCAATGAGCTTTAAAAGACTTACTTACAATATCTAATACTTGCAGGAATAACTACAATAACTTTGAAATATTTTTTATTAAAAATCAAAACCAAAACCAAAACTAAATCAGTCTTCCAGGCAACCTCTGTGATCATACCAGACTAGCACTGGTGGAATTTCTTTCGGGGTATTTTGTTATTTAAAATAATGGAATTGAGTGAGCACTTGACAATATGAAGAACTTTAACAGCCACAAATATATGGTGACATCTCATATTTGCCCACATGTGTTATTTTCCTCTGTGCTTTGTTGGGCTCAGTGGATGGGGTTGGTAATGGCCCCAAATGGAGAACTTCTGTAAGTGATGGGAAGACTTGCTGCAGGATCCTTTGTCAAAAGTACTTATTACCTAGTGCCCTTGTTGGCATCTGAGCTGGAAGGCACAGGATCACAGGGAACATGCAGTCCTGGAAGCGGGCCTGGTGGCACAGGCCTGGGGATGGGGTGTCAGTGATGGTGTAAAAGGGGAGAGGCAACATTTTCTTCATTGGGCAATGCTTATCCTCTGGAGAAAGTGCATAGAACTGTGGTCTACACAGCCAGAATGAGAGAGTGGTTGGGTAACTGTCCAGTAAACTCAGCTGAAGTCAGGCAAGAAAGTTTGGGCCTAAGAGTCCTAAATATTCACAGTCCGAAGGGATCAGAAAACTCTTCAAAATTTATGTTAGTTTTGGGGGCACCTGGGTGGCTCAGTTGGTTAAGCGTCCGACTCTTGATTTTGGCTCAGGTCATGGTCTCAGGGTTGTGAGTTGGAGCCCCGAGGTGGGCTTGGTGCTAGGCATGGAGGCTGCTTAAGTTTCTCACTCTCCCTCTGCCTCTGCTTATCCCCCACCCCTAAAAATTATTAGTTTTGTAGTTATGGCTTTTCCAAAGGAGGAAAGAAAATTTATTATTTTTAGACATTTTTGAAGAATAGGATTCTTTCCATACAAGCATAGTAGATTATTTGCCAGCAAGTATTAAAATTAAAAATACCTACCCAGCTGTGTGGGAAGTCTGGAATTCTCTGGAATTCTTTTTTTTTTTTTTTAATTGCATTTTCCCCCATGAATGCACTATGTTATGCCATAGGCCAGTCACCATCTTTGAGAGAGTTACTTCTAACACTTTGGTGTGTCACCTCATTCACACTTACCATATCATAAGAGAATCTTTAATATTTTGCAAGAACCTTCCCCCAATCATAAAAATCACAACACGATGGCCTTATAGTGACTATCTCAACATTGCAGTGCTAGCAGATTGCTCGGAATGCAGAAAAACAAAACAAGATAAACAAAATACCAGTATCCACAAACAGAAAGCAGGTTCTTTTGGGGAGGTGCATGTCTTTTTGATGAGCTAAGTGTTGATTCTAACCCCAAAAGACAGAAAAGTGTGAGGTTAGATAAGTGTCTGCTAGATTCATGAATGCCATGTGGATTCTGTGAAGTCAGCTTCGAGGTCACCAGCGCTCGCTGCAGAGTAAAGGTCACCAATTGTTCATCCTTGCTCTGATTGGGCAGCTCCTGAAAGCAGAACGTGCACCACCTTCTGGAAGCCCTCTGCTAACCTCAGCTCAGCAACTGTGAAGGTGGATGCTTCTAGCAAGGGAGCTCAGGATGGATTCTGCAGGCATTGCTTGAGCAATGCCAAGTGGCCACTGGCCAGGGTCAAAGTTAAACCAGGAGATGGCTATCAAATGCAGTTGTTGGGTTTGGCACATCTCTCTTGAGCTGCTGCGGAGCAGGAAAGAGAGACGTTTGTTTGTGGCTTCAGTTCATCAGTTCTCCAGCGCACTCTTTAATCTGAGCCTTTTTATTTGCTCAAGAGAAAAACAAGTCTGACTCGCCCACCACGGAGGATTTAAATTGGACGGTCCCATAGAGTCCTCAGCCCACGCCCTTTTACATTTATTTTCCAGCAACCTTATTAGTTGGTTTGGGATGCCTTCTGGTCGCGTGAAAACATTTTCCAATAGATTCGCTGCTGCACATCCTATGATAAATCTAATTGTTTCCCCCCTGAATCGTGCTGATCTGGGACACTGCATTTGCACTCGCATGTACGCGTTTGCACAAAAAATAGCATGGCCAGATTAAGGAACGCAGATCTGGCTGCAAAGCCGCTTCTGTTGGGTTTTCTACACTGTGGTTATCCTGCCTTCTGGTCGGTGAATAAATACTGTTTGGACGGGGCCTGGCACAGATGCTTTAACCGTAAAGCTTAATGTATAACTAGTATGTTTTTCTTCTGTGTCAGCAGTTGGCACCACGACACTGTAAATAAGGATTGGGTGAGTAGATGGATGTCTGTAGTCAGGGGAGGGGAAGGCTGCCGTAAGCAGTTTTGAAATTCATGCCAGGGGTTGCTCTAAGTGATAAGGTAATTTGAGTAACCTGTAAGAACTGTGGATTCACAGGTTTCAAAAACAGGAAAGTCTCTTGTTTAAAAGCCCTCTAAAGCAACATGTAGGCTTAGAAAAGAAGCAGGCTTGCGGTTAGGTGATTGTACTTCCTTATTGATATAATGGCTGGTGACGCAAGGCCTCCTGGGATTGCAGCCTGGTGACCGCAGGCCCGACAGTTACCCTGACCGGCTTCTGAAACAGGCCCGGGGCTTTCTGGACGGATGAGAAGTCTAAAAATTTCCCTTTTCATTTCCTCTCTTGTGTGACTTTGTCATTTTTTTTTTTTTTTTTCTAAACCGGTGATTGAAAAGGGAATTTTGCCCGTGCTCTGAAGGAGTTCATCTTGACTTAGTAGCTTCCCTCCCACTCCTCAAAAATCCCACCCTGAAAACCCCAAGCTAAAAAAATAAAATAAAATAAAATAAAAAAATCATCCATCCTGGCACATTTTTCAGTGAGCCTGTGTTTGATTAATCTGCTTGTGAAGCTGGATTCATAATGAGCAGCTCTTTAGAAACTGTATGTTTTTTTTTTTTTTTTTTTTTTTAAACCCTCTGGAATGTCTCTGTGTCCTCCGCCTTCTGGGAGTTTAAAGCCCAGGTAAATGCTGTGTCCTTCTGGAAACCCAACTATCTCACGGCCAACTGGGAGGCTTGATTGGGGTGGTTTCTGGGGAAGCTCCCAGTTTACATGCTCCTGTTCTGAAACATGAAAACAGATGCCATTCCGGGGTGACCCTGCTAACTGACCACAGCACAGAAAGTTCCATTGGCTAGATGTGTGGGCTGTCCTAGGCCTTGGAAACACTCTGTGTTACAAGAAACTTCAGAAAGGGGTTCTCCTGTCTGCCCTGGAGGGGATTCAGTGGGGACAGCTTGGTGGGCTGGACATGCTTTTAAGTGGCCGGCGCCCCCGCTCTCTGTCGAGGGGAGACAGAGGCAAACAGGTAGAAGCCATTTCCACACCCAAATTCCTCCCAAAATCCTTGTGGCTGTATTTTTTGTTACACATCATAAGCACATAGGCATATCCATATGTGTGCATGCACCTATGTACGTATGTACACACACTCACGTGTTACCTATGCTATTTGGCCCAGCCCACGAGTTCCTTTCGTTTTTCAGTGAATTCAAAGAAGATAACATAAGGAAGAAGTGTGTATTTTACTGTTCCAGTAAATTACCAGTGTCACATGTTGAGTCTCACCAAACGAACCCATCTTTACTGATTCCCTTGTCTGGGCCCCGATGATCTACATCTGGGATGTTTGCATGTCAGGCTGCTCTCTCTTTTTTTGGTAAGCCCAATATATCTGCCCCAATCATGTCATTGGGGCCACAAGGAAATGTAATCCTGCCAAGTGTGGGAGCTAATAACTGCCCAAATGTTAAGGTTATGCTGAAAGCAAGAGCTACTTCCTGGGTTATGCATAGGTGTTGTGGTGTGTGTGCATGGGTACTGTGTGTGTGAATGAATGCTGTGTGCATGGGTACTATGTGTTTGCCTGGGTGCTGTATGTGTGCATGTGTACCATGTGTATGTGTATTGTGTGTGTGCATGAGTACTGTGTGTGTGTATGAGCTCTGTGTGTGTGCATGAGTGCTGTGTGTGTGTATGAGCTCTGTGTGTGTGCATGAGTGCTGTGTGTGTGTATGAGCTCTGTGTGTGTGCATGAGTGCTGTGTGTGTGCGTGACTACTGTGTGTGTGCATGAATGCTATGTGCGTGCATGGGTACTGTATATGCGCATGACTACTGTGTGTGTGCATGGGTACTGCATATGTGCATGTCTACTGTGTGCTGCATGTACTGTGTGTGTATATGAGTCCCGTGTGTGTAACTGTGTATGTACGTGAGCGCTGGGCATGTGTGTGTGTGTGGATGTGTATCATCTGTGTGTGTATGAGTGCACATGTGCATGTCTACTGTGCATGTGGTGCACGGGATGTCACAGGGCCATGGCGGGCAGTGATGGGGAAGTTGCTGGCATGGGGGTTGGGGGCCTGCTTGGGAACAGGTCCATCACTTCAGGAGTTTTCTTCTGTTTTTTTTTTTTTTTTTTTTTTGTCTTCTGTTTCTCTGTCTTTTCCCCTTTAATCAATATGCATGGACATTATAGAAACCTTAAAGACAGGTCAAGTGTGTTATTACATTTCTCCTTCCCGCCTGCGTCTCCCATGAGTTCTAAGTATCTTTTTGCTTCAGCCTCAGGACAAAGGAGAGAGCTTTGGGACTGAGATGATGGAGCAAGGATTCAACACCACACTGTTCTTTTTCACTCTGTGCGTGTGTGCTTCTTGTGTGTCCAAAAGCCAGAAAGGAGAAGCCGTAAAGGGAAAATAGGCAATCAGATTGGAAAGAGAGTATAAGTTGGTATTTGTAAAATAAAACTTTTATTCCTCTCCCCAGGACTCTGCCCCAATTTCCGGTCACTAACCTCAGTATCGGCACTGACCCACTTCTGGCTATTTTTATTTGTTCCTTGAAAATGCCCGCTGTGTGATTAAAGTTTACTCTTGTCAACTTTGTTCCTATCCTCCCTGCCATCTGAGTCCAAAAGTGCAGCCCTTCCCACCTCACTCCCAATAATTATGGGTAAGAGCCAGAGAACAGCAGGGTTTTATTGGCGATGTGACACATAGCGACCCTTTCCCCAGCCATGAGAGACATGAGGACAAGCAGCTGCTGCATGCATGTAGAGCCCTCGGCCTGTGTCTTCACCTTGTGTCTGGGGTCCCCCTCCAAAGCACCACACTCCCCTGGAGATAGCATCTCTGGGTCTCAGTACCTTGGGTGGGAGGGGCAGGTGTCACTGATGCCAGGGCTCTGGCCTCAGCCATGAATGCACGGGTACTTATCTGGGATTACACCCTAAGTCAACAGTGGAACCGGGAAGTGGACTCGGGGTCCAGCATCCTATGGAAAGTTGGATGTATTTGCTTTCCTCTTAAAGCAAACTTTGATTTACTCTTTAATAAGTTACCATGAAGGATATAGTTCTAGAAAATCTAAGTCACATGTTGATAAAAGAGGAGAGGGAAACAGTGAGTCTTTGCATTCTTCCAGCTTTATCATTAACCCCAGGTTTGGAAATTAATTTGCTTTGGAAGGATCGGTTTCCAAGTTTTCAAGAAGGGGATCGTTCCCTATTGACCAGGTTGTTTTGACACCCTTTGCTGAAGGGCATTCCAAACAGGGTAACCCACAGCCAGTCGGACCCCTCGGAGGAGCTCTGTGATCTAGTAAAGAGGGACCTTCACTTCAGCCGGGTTAATGCCTTGGCTTTCTCACTGCCTGTACCACTTGGGCAAACCCTTTTCCTTCTTTGGCCTCAATTTCCTTATCTGTAAAATGGGGATAAAAAGTTATTTCCCTCCCGAAGGTTATTACTTAAGGACATGTGTGTGAAGGGCCAGAAGGGAGAGTGAGATGTAGTATATGCTTTGTATACAAGCTGTTGGGAGTACGTATGACTTAAGTCATTTTGACTGTTGGAATACCTCTTCTGTGTTTGCTTTCCAGAAGTGTCTCTAAGAAGTCACCTGCTCCAGGTACAAAATGTGATTTCGTCCTCTGTGCTTTTCCTGCTTGTTTCCACAGGAGTGGATAGAGCTGCCCTGGAAGGACTAGAATAAAAGAATGTTCTTACCTCACTGGTGATGGGGACGCAGGGCTGGGGAGTAGTCGGGGGTGAAGGCTTCCTCTCCTTTGTGTGGTCAGCACTTCCTCATTAAACTCTGTGATCTGCAGACCAGGAAAAAAACACACAAGTAGAAAAAGGAGGCACCCAGGACCCATCTCATACATCTGTGATGATCTCTGGAGATGAGTGGTTTCTTTGCTTTCCCAAAGGGCCCAAGCATAACTTTGAGGGAGAAGGAAAACACACTTTTATGAGTTCTAACAAGCCGCTCTTCCAACTGCTCCCATAAAAACATCAGGAGCAAAAGGAGATGGGGGATCACACCAGAGGTGAGGGGTGCAGGGGTGGCTATGCCTTGGTGTGGCCACGAGAAGTGCACTGTCTCTAAAGAGTTTACTTCTTTTTAAACTTCTAATTGCCACACATCAGTAATTCCACAGAATATCAGTGATAAAATCCTCCTTTCATGGGGCAGCCACTCCTCCTGTGCCCTTTTGGTGTACACTGGGTGAGCGGGCTGGAAGGGAGACAGTGTGGCCCAACATTAAAGGAACCTACAGTATTTCTTTCCTGAGGCTGGGGAGCCAAGTGTTCAGGCAGAAATTCCTTGGGGGTCAAAAGAGTGACGAGACAGGGAGAGAGATGTGTCCATAGGTAATGTAGTGAGATGGGCCCGGCTGGCTCTGCTTGTGTCCCCCAGGAGCCCGTGAGGTGGGCCTGGGAGTGGAGCTGCCATGGGGCTGTGCTGTACTGAGCTGGACTGGGCTGGGGGGTCATATGTTGGAGACAAGCTCATAAGTGGGCCTTAGAGCAAAGCTGGAGGCTGACAGTGTGACAGAGGCTGTAGCATTTCTGTATGTCAAGGCTCCTTCCCATTCCATCCTGACCTGGAGGTGGGTGCTCCTGCCCTGCTATTCTTCTAGTTTTGGGGCAAATAGGTCTGGAGACACCGCTTCCTAACGGTGTGCTTCATTTAACCCTTGCAGCTACCTGGGGAAATGCTCCTTTCACAGATTAGGAAATTGAAGCTCAACACAGGGCAGGAGCCTCCTCCCCACATCACCCAGCAGGGAAGTGACGGGTCTGGGAACTGTCCTGAGTCTGCCACCCCCAAGGCCTCCCTGCAGAAGTGATCATTCCTTGCCAGTGCTTTGCACTGTGTGCGAGATCGTTGGAGGGGCGGCGGGGGCGGGGGGGGAGGGGGATACATGGAGCCGCCCTTAGGCTCACGAGGCCTACTTATCATGATTCAGCACAGCCAAAGGCAACACCTTTGGGTTCTTGATGGGCACAGTGCCAGATAAAGAGACCGTCACCAGAGCAGGGGCTGCTTCCCGTGTATGGCAGGACTCCACAGAGCAGCGGAACAGATATTCAGGGAACAGTTTGGGGTGGCCCTGCAGGAACGTGTTCTTTATTGGTTTCCTGGAATCCTCGCTCAGAGACAGGCCTGGCCATGGGGCTCTGCCGGTGGAAGCTCCTAGTAGTGAGCACGTTTTGGCTCTGGAAATTTTTTTTCCCCAAAGACTTTATTTATTGATGCATGAGAGACACACAGAGAGGCAGAGACACAGGCAGAGGGAGAAGCAGGCTCCCTGTGGGGAGTCCGATGCGGGACTCGAACCCAGGACCCTGGGGTCATGACCTGAGCCGAAGGCAGATGCTGGCGACTGAGCAACCCAGGCGCCCTTTGGCTCTGGAAAATTTGAGAGAGACTCTCAGCACTGTCTCTATGCTTGGGATTTGCTCATCCCTTCCTCCCTACTTCTCCAGCACAGAGGAAGCCTCAGGAAATGAGGGAAATGTCTTAAGAGGGAGTCCACCCAAGGTGGCAGAGTCTGGTGTGATGCAAGGCCCCTGGTTTGGATTCATCTTGGCCCTTCTACGGGGTTCCTTGGAGGCAGGTGCCTCAGCAATGGGCCAGCCCCTGCCTCCTGGTCCAGGGCCCCACAGGGTGGGGGAGCTCCAGCACCTGGCCTCATGTGACCTTGGGGTCACACGCCGGGGTCTGCCCTTGGGCCCTGCCCCCCTCAGAGCAGAGCAACCTACCTTGAAGAAGGAAGACCTGGCCTGTCCGGGTTATTTATTTGTCTTCTGGCCTGCCTTTGTTCTGCAGAGCGGTGTGCATGAAAGGCTGGTGGGGCAGGGGAGAAGTGCCCATCAGTGACTCACACAGGAAATTGGAAATCGGACACCGAGGGTCTACCCCCAATCCGCCTCGGACTCACAGCCTCTGGCTTAAACAAACCCAACACCCGCCCTGACCTTTGCTCCCCCTCCATCTGTGGCTGGCCCGGCCTGCCAGCAGCCGGCTCTCCCTGCCAGGCCAAAGCTTGCACAAGTCCAGCCTGGGAGAGATTCCTTCAGGTGTCCAAAGGAAGGCTGTGGATGCAGCCTATGATTTTTCTTTTCTGTTTTTTTTTTTTTTTTTTTGGTCTCCAACAAAGTGAATCCTTAAATTTTTTCTCTTTAAATTTTCATCCATTATATTCATCAACGCAAAGAGATGGAACATTTGGCAAAATTATTTTAAGTAGCACTCCAACCTGTGATCGTAATTTCAAATCAAGGAATTTGCTGAGCAGCTGTGGGAAGAACAAAGGGCCTGGGGGAGGGGAGCCTGCGTGGCCAGAGCAGAAGCAGCTGGGGAGGCAGGTTGTGCATACACGGAGGGGGAGCTGGTCTTCTCGGGCAGGCAGTCCATCTATGCGGGGCGGGCTGGCACTGCAGTTTCCATCTGCTGAACACACCACAGGCTCCCCTTAAAAATATATACTTGGAGCAGAGGATTCGGAGTCAATTCAATAAGACGGCTGAGAGCTTTAGCTCAGGAGTGGGACAGACCCGGCCTTGAATCCTCAAGCTGCGCAGCTCACCAGCCTCTCCTGAGTCATCTATGAAATGGGAACAGTCATAGCAACCACATCGTAGAGACCATTATGATCTATATTTCTTTATCTGGCCTAGTTACTAGCACGTGGTAAGGGTTCACAATGCTATTACTATCGCCGGCCCGCCGAAGTGGACAATTTATGTGCTTCATCTTTGCAAATGATTCATTCAGCCAACATCTGTGGAGTGCCTATTACCCTCCAGCTGCAAGGCTGGGTGTTGTAGGAGTACAAACATGTAAAGCGTAGGAATTAATATGCTGTTAGATAAATAAGAATACTTCTATTGAGTTGAGGAATAATGCCTCCCAAGACCATTTAATTCATTCACAAAGAACTTTTCTGAATAGATGGTCTAGCACAAACGATTTGAAAAATATACGAGTTAAAAAAAAAGAAAGCTGTCTCATTTCCACTTGTTTTTGAACTCACTGCTTTTCAATAAAACTATTATCCAAATTAACTTAAATTCTTAAAATAAGCCCGGCTTCATACCTAAGAACTTCAATCAGCTAATTTGCAGATAATCAGACCTATTTGCAAACAGTCTGATTTGTCTAAGCACCGAAGAGTGACACGTGTGTACTTAGAAAGGCTTTCACTTGTCAGGATTATCCAATTGTGCTAAATTATGGCTCTGAGAATCAGACGTTATCTAGACCAACCTCTCCTCCTCTGAACAGTATTTGTGAGAGATAATAGGTAAGCTTCTGCTCCAACTCTACTAGGAAAGGAGAGCCCACTACTTTAGAAGGTAGTGAGGTTGAACAGCTCTAAAGGTGCAAGATGGAACAGTTCATGGGAGATTAATTTAAATTTGTACAGCACGTGGAAAGGATGAAAAGCCTTTTTGTTGTTTCTGCGTTCATCCTGCTCCCCATTTCTGTAGCCTGGTCTTGCTTTGACTGCCTATCTTTCCCCTTTCACCCTGAGCCACCGCCTACCTTCTGCCCCGAGAGAAGCAGCGCTAGCCCTGGTCACTGTTGGGTGGCCAAGCGTACGGCGCTTTGGAAGCTGAGAGCCAACATGCAGTTTATTACTCCTTGCCCTGTTCTCTGGGGGTGGTTCAGCCAGGCTCTGCTTTCTTGGAAAACAACAGTGAACTTTGTTCAGCCAAAGGCTTATTTCCTAAATTCTGATATTTGCTCACTGGCCCTCCTCTCTCCAGCTGTTCCCAACTGCTGACCACTTTTTAGGCATGCGGCTAGCTGCTTCTGCTACTCCAGCACTTTTTGGAAGGCAGCCACGAGGGGCCAAGGCAGATGAGGCACAAGGACTGTTGCTCGTGGCCTTGGCTTTGTGGTCTGAATCCATGATTGCGTCATTTGGAAGGTGTGCGTGGGACTACCTTTGAAACCAATGGGCTAAGAGCAGAGCTTTTAATGAGCACAACAGTAGCTCCACGAAAATCTGTAGTTGCTTCATTTGCTTCACACGTCTGGTTGCCTGTAGAATTGTTATAATAATAATAATAACAATAATTAATAAAAGCAAATCAAGAGCAGCTAAAGTAAGAAGAGAAAAGGCAAAGGTTTATTTTTGGAGTTCTTGAATTCGGTAACTCCGTCTGGCTTCCTCATTTCTCCTAACTCAGCTTTCATTTCATGCGGGCTTTGGGGCTCTGGTCTTTGCCTGGATCCTAAGTCCCAGAGGCCCTTCTGGCTCTCCAGATCTTGGAGTGAGGTTTCATCCAGCCTTTCCCACCCCACCTGATGGTTGTCCACTGGCTGGCCCCTGGGAGTTGCTGGAGAAACTCAGACAGACCCTGGGTAGAATTGGTTCCAGGCTGAATTCTGAGAGGCTCACCCAGTGGTCTCCAAATCCCCTAGGCCGCATCTGGAATGTAAGATGGGCTTTGTTTAGCCTGAGTGGCATTTAACATAATTTGGTTTGGTTATCAACATTTTAGAAACAGGAGATCACAAGAAATCCAGATTTTTAGCTCAACTCGAAAAATTGGAGACGGGGCAGGATTGTATCTTTGGTCTCTCTGGACCCGAGTGGTAGCTGCCCCTCTGACAGGTGGCACACACTCTCCACTTGGCCACCATCTCTGCAACAACAGAGAGTGTCTTTCTGGACCCAGAGCCAGAGTATTAGATGCTAGTGATCCATGGGCTTCCCCCCTCCCACCACCAGCCTCCCCACATGACCTCATTCATAAAGGGCCTGCCTGATTCTTCTGCACATTTGAGTTTGCTGTCCATGCTCAGTGGAGTGTGTTTAGCAAGAGGATTGCTGAAGACACTCCACTCCTTATCTGTATTAGACTCCAGGCCCACCACATTCTTCTTGCTTCCCTTCTTCCTTGCTTCCCTCCCTTCCTCCTTCCTCCTTTCTCTTTATCTTTTATCACCTCTTAAACAGAAAAATAAAATATACCTGTGGAAAAGTACTCACAGCAGAGATCTATAGCTCAATGATTTATCACTAAGTCCACACCTGTGCCATTACCAGGTCCACAGACAGGACTGTGCAGCATTCTAGAAGCATTCTTTCCCTCCTTTACTCCTTCCCCACCACTGGTAACCACTGTCCTGACTTCCATGGTAAAATATCCTTGATTTTCTGTATAGTTTTACCAGAAAAATATGTGTTAAATGCTAGTTTTGCCTGTTTTTACAGCCTCATGCAACTGTGACTCTACAATATGTATTCTTTCATGCGTGGCTTCTTTCACTCAACCTTGTACCTATAAAATTCACCCCTGTTGTGTATAGATGTAGTCTATAAATTTTCATCACTGGATAGTATTACCTTTTATAAATGTGACACTATTTTGTCTTATTATTCTACTCTTGATGGTCATTTGGGTTTTTCCCAGTTTAGGGCTAGTATAGACAGGGCTGCAAAGGGCATTCTTATGCTTCCATACTGGTGCATGTATGCTTTTCTGAGAGTATTACCTCTGAACTTGGGATTTTTCCCATGGAAGGTTTTAAATTATGGATTTAATTTGTTGAAGAGTTATTTGGCTAAGATTCATATTTTTTCTTGTGTCCATTTTGATAAATTACATCTTTTAGGAACTTAGTTTTATCTAAATTTTCAAATGTAATGGCATAACATTGTTTATAATATCTTCTTAACAATTTTTAATGATGATGGGCTCTGTTGTGATGTCTCCTTGCCATGTTTGACAGTGATTATGTTTATCTTCTCTTTCTTTTCCCCCTTGCTCAATGTTGCTAAGGTTTTGGGGTTTTTCTAAATCAGTTTAAAAAAATACTTTATTTATTCATGAGAAATACAGAGAGAGAGAGAGAGAGAGAGGACAGAGAAGAGAGAGAGAGGCAGAAACACAGACAGAGGGAGAAGCAGGCTCCATGCAGGGAACCCAACGTGGGACTTGATCCCCGGTCTCCAGGATCAGGCCCTGGGCTGAAGGTGGCACTAAACCGCTGGGCCACTGGGCTGCCCTCTAAATCAGTTTTATTACTCTTTCCACAGAATCCAATTTTTGGTTTTGTTGATATTTCCTATTGTATATTTGTTTTCTAGTTCATGAAATTCTGCATTCATCTTTCTTTTCTTTTTCCTTTGGGTGTAATTTTCTGTACTTTTTCTAATTTTTTAAAAAGATTTTATTTATTCACGAGAGACACAGAGAGGCAGAAGACACAGGCAGAGGGGGAAGCAGGCTCCATGCAGGGAGCCTGATATGTGACTTGATCCTGGGACTCCAGGAGCGTGCCCTGGGCCAAAGGCAGATGGTAAACTGCTGAGCCACCCAGGGATCCCCTTTTCCTAATTTCTTGAGTTGAGGGTTTAGTTTATTGATTTTAAGATGTTCTTATAATCTAATATATGCCAGTAAGATTATATGTATAATTATTTATTTTTTAATTAGTGTGGGGAGGGGCAGAGAGAGAGGGAGAGAGAGAATATTAAGCAGGCTCCATGCCCAGTGGGGCTTGATCTCACAATCCTGAGATCATGACCAGAGCTGAAATCAAAAGTTGGATGATTAACTGACTGAGACACCAAGGTACCCCCACCAAGTAAAATTATAAATGATAATCTAAACATAGCTTTAACTTTATCCTATGAGTTTCAATATGCAACATTGTATATTTTGTACAAATTCAGTCATTTGACATTTGTTAAGATTTGCTTTATGGTTCAGCATACAGTTGATTTTTGAAACTCCCTTGTGTTCTTGAAAAGAAAGCGTATGGCTCAGTATTCTGTTTGTATCTATTAGGTTATAGCTGCTGACTGTGTTGTTTGAATAGTCTGTTCTTACTGACTTGTCTATTTGTTCTGTTAGATATTCAGAGAGATGTGTTAAATTCTCCCATTATTGTGAAGAGTATTTATGAATATTTGTT